AAAGAAGAAACCTAAAGCTATTACAATCTGTGGTTATGATTGTTAGTAGAATTATTTAGTTAGACCTGTAATGGTAGAATGTGTTGCATGTCAGTCTGTTCAGCCTGTGATTGTGTCTAATAATCAGGTTGCTTTGGATGATGGGAATAACAATGTTCTCCATGTTCAAGTCGATTCCTCTTAAGGGAATAAGGACGATGGTCTGTTTCCTAGGCCTGGTTTTAGAGATGTGGGGTCTGAATACAGTTCAAATTATGAATTAGAGAGGCCTGTATTGCTGCGAGGTGATTCTCAAGGTCTTGAGCCCGAAAAAAGCTCTGCCCCGCAGTCCTTTGGTCAGTTATTTCCAGGTACAGATTTTAATGAAGCCTTGAACAGAGGAAGTGTTTTTAGCCAGCCGAGACAAACAAAGCAGCAATTACGATGCTCAGCCAGATTACAGCAGAAGTTAAAAGTGAAACCAAAGTTAAGGAAAAATCCATTCTTAGCTGTTTGGGAAATAGGGCAGATATATAAGTGCCAAGTACAGAATCAAGCTTCATACGAAGCAACATTGGATTCACATTAAGTTCTTCATGCCAAGTTCATGGGCCTTTGTCTTTGTTTGATTCCTGTTTTAAGTGCCTTTGCATCTGGTTTCATGGAGTCCTTTGGACAATTTCTCTTTGGATTAATTGCTCCTTTTTCTTCCTAATCAATTGGATTTACCTTTTACTGTGGATTACTTTTTATTGCTTTGGCTTTTATTACCGTCAATAAACTACTTGCTATTTTAACTCAACTGTGTGGTGTTTAAAGTCAGAGGGGATCCTGCTCTGGAGTGCAACAGAATTATACTTTTCATTTATTTTTCTTTTTATTGTGGTTGGGGGAGGTCAGAGTCTTACTGTGCCTTGGGTATGTGTCCGTTTCTTTTTCGTTTTCTTCCTTTTTATTCCTTCTGTTTCTTTCATTGTACTTTGTTAATAAATACATAAATAGATAAAAAAGGAACTAAATCAATGGAACTAAAAAAAGTATTTAACTTTGTTTAAACTGTGCTCACTGTTACTGCAGAGAAAAGCTAGGGCAAGCTTATAAACACTATGGGATTCTATTATTTTAGGATTTTAATTTTAAAAATCAAAGATAATATTTTCCAAGGCACACTCTTTTGGGATCATTTGACAATAACTGACAAAAGAATCACTGTGGAGAGAAAGTGATATTTGTATCACACACAAGATGTTTAGATTACAATGCAACTTTTACTTACCTGGCAATGAAGAATATTCAGTTGAATACACTTCTGAGTACAGTATATATGTTTTGGATTGTATTCATTTAGGCTGACATCTTTTGCTATATTGTGGTAAAAAACAGTTATAGTAAACTCCACCCCCACACTTTCTATAATGTCATTGCTATGAATAGTAGCCTTGACCTGTACAATGTATTTCAGAACTGCATTTATTGTTTTGTTGGTATTATCTTCAATGAATAATATGGAATAGATATAAAGGTAGGAACTGCTTTGGGTTGGAAAAGGGAGACAATGCGATTTATTCTTAGTAATCAATATTAAGTGCAAAGAAACAACTGGCTTCTTGTGAACTCCCATAGACCCCAATGAAATTAGTTTTCAAGACAAGAGCAATTTTCATTTAGAATCTCCTTGGTATTTTTTAATGCTCTACTTATTATCATTGTCTCAACCTGACTCTTTTTAGGTCTGTCCAGAAGGCAGCATACATTTCCTCCTTTCTCTCTAATGATTAACAAGAGAAAAAGGAGTAGAATTAAATTGTCAACAGTAACAAACCCAATTAAAGTGCATTTAATACTTTTATTCATGTGTAGTAATTAATACACTTGAAACCAATGGAACTGAAAATGAAATACTTTTTCTCAGCATAAATATAGCGGCTACTAGCCCCCAGTGGTGCAATGGGTTAAACCGCTGAGCTGCTAAACTTGTTGACTGAAAGGATGCAGGTTTGAAGCCGGGGAGCGGCATAAACTTCTGCAGTTAGCCCCAGCTTCTGCCAACTTAGCAGTTTGAAAACAGGCAAATGTAAGTAGATCAATAGGTACCACCCTGGCGGTAAGGTAATGGCGCTCCATGCAATAATGCCAGCCACATGACCTTGGAGGTGTCTACGGACAGTGCCAGCTCTTTGGCTTAGAAATGGAGATGAACACCACCCCCCACAGTTGGATACGACTGGACTTAATGTCAGGGGAAAACCTTTACCTTTAACCTACATTTCCCAGCTGGAAACGGAGAAAAAAGGAACGTAAGTCACAAGTTTTAGATAGTCTGAGGACCTTCTACACCAGGCATGAGCAAACTTGGGTCTTCCAGGTGTTTTGGACTTCAACTTTCACAATTCCTAATAACCAGTAGGCTGTTAGGAATTGTGGGAGTTGAAGTCCAAAACACCTGAAGAGCCCAAGTTTGCCAGAGCCTGTTCTACACTCTCCTTATATCTTGGGATCTGATCCCAGGTTATCTGCTTCGAACTGGATTATTAGAGTCTCCCTGTAATCTAATCTGGGATAAGCAGATATTCTGAGATTAGATTCTGGGACAGGAGAACAGTGTAGAAGGGGCCTGTGTTCTTTGTATTGTCTTTCTCATATATGCATTTGTAGTGCTTGGGTAAGTGTTTAGTATATTCAGCTTTGTATTATTATCAAGCTTGAGAGTGTCTGTATTATTTTATATTGTACTATGTAGTTGGTTATCTATCATATTGAATAGCTTCTATACTTTGGTTATTTTGTTTTACCTATATTTTTCACAGTATTATTAATTATGAAATTCACATTTCTGTTTAATAGTTTGGTTGTTTTGCTTGTTGTGAGACCATGCTGTGTTTCCTGTGCTAAGGAAATACAATAACTAAGCATTTTAATGTGTGGTTACTGCAGTTTCACAGAACAATCTTGTGGAAAGCCTTTTTCCTTGATATCCATTTATTAGGCCAGAAGTTTAAGTGGCCCCCACTCCATACCAGAGCCCTAAGCTATCTTCCAATACTCTCTAAATTATTACTGCAGGAAGAATCCTCTTCTGTTCACAATGTGGGAGTACATGGTATAGTCTGCTTATTATGGTACTCCAAATGTACCAGCTGGAGTCAAATGTGTCCAACCAATTAGAGTATTTTTAAATAAAAAAATCAGTACTTTGAAATGCACAGCCCCATGCTACATCACAAATATCTTTTGCATTGATCTTGCTTACGAATGGCTGTTGGCATACTGTAAGTTGAAGGGGAACATTTGTACACACCAACTCACCCTTGGTTTTCTGCTATATGCTGAGTTCATCTTTGAATCCGAACTGGGCAAATTGCAATTGAAACCTTCTTTACATAATGAAGCTCCATGTCATTGCACATACATATAAAACAGGAAATTGTGTTGGAAAAATTAGGAATGCAAAAATAGCTTGCTGTTGGGATTTTTGATTGAAATCTGACTTCTTGCCTTAGACCATGCCACAATGCAATTCTCACATTGTGTTTTCTGCATTTTTTCCCATTATATTGGCTAGATTTTATGCAAAATATCTCAGTGCTCAGCTAATGATTCGCCTCTGCTGAAGCAAAGCACAGATACACTGGAAGCACAAAGAGAGAGGCCAATTGGTCACATAGAAACAACCACCCACTCAATGCGGTTACTTTTACTAATCCATTCAAGAAGATAACAGCTATTCCATTTTCTCTGTTTTGTGCATTTCAAAGAAATGTGCAAAAAATACTCTTGAAAATGCACAACATCCCTCCAGTGGTATCACCAAAATCTCGTCATCTCATAGCAAACACAATACTTTTGTTTTAGGTCACTGAAGAACACTCAACCAGAAATTATATTCCTAAATGAATCTCTATCACTGACCACTAGGGATCTCTCTATGGCAAGTAAATTCTGGTGAAAGTTGAGCAAAGTAAGAAATAGTGTCTCCTTGGGAGGGGAGCATTGGGAAATGAAATGCAATGAAATTGTTGAGATTACTTGTCTTAATTTTAGGAAAGTAAAATATCCTTTACAAATAATAGAAGCTAGGGTAAACTGGGTTAGTTTTTTATTATCCCTACCTCTAAAGAGAGGAAGTTTAATATTTCATTTTAGACTGCTGTCCAATACAGAAATGATAAGAGTAAGTTCCTTTGATTTCAGTGACACTCAATGGGTCTTGCTTATAAGTAGACACATGCTATTAGTCACCTCTAATTTAGTTATTAGAGGATACAAAACACAAGTGTGTTAGTATGAGCATATAGTTGTCACATTCATAGCAAATACTTTAAAGCAGGGAAAATCATGAATATACTGTAACATACATGAGATATAAACTAGCTGTCTGTTTTGTATATCCAAACATCATTTCAAGGAATACATGAAATTTTTAACGTACCAGTCAAACCCTACAAGATGTTTCAGAAAGAGAACATACATAATTTGAAAAGTGTGCTTTAACTTTATACAGTTTTAATCTTATTATGGCTCTCTGTTATGCTGGTTTCTATTTTTCATGAGGCTAATCCTTTCTCTAATAGATTTATTTTGCTACAGTTTCCTCATCCACATTACAAGGGGGGGGGGGGCTCATTTGTGTTGGAACAGAGTTCTCCTCACTGAACAAAGAGAAGATGCTCCAGGCCTGCTAAGTTTAGAAGGACCAACTCAGGAAATTGTATTGAAAGAAGAAATTGTGCTCAAATAGTGCACTGATGAACTCTACAAGTGTAACTGAAATAAATTTCCTTTCACTCCACACTCACAGTGCTCCATTAAACAACTACAGAATATTTCTTGCTGTGGTGTGCAGAAAGACTGAAAAACAAGGCAAGCTTTGCCCTTCATTGGTAACCATATTGTTTTGGCACTCCTAAAGAGAATAACTTGCCCCTCTTGATGAACGGCCATACACAATCAGTTGGCAACATTCATTTTGATGGATTACATTTTGGCCAGGCTCACATCACATGATTATCTACTTGCAAGGGTTAAAGGTGAAAGTTTTATTCAGGTTTATCATAACTTCCAGATGCACTTAAACAAATGGCAGAAAACCAACAGATTGAAATGGATTTGGATGGGAACATTAGTCATCACTGTACAAAAGATGAGTACTCCCACCTGGACTCTCACCATAGAGTTCCACCATGGCTTTGAATTTCTGACACAGTCTACTTGGTGAAATAATACTTTGATGTGTTAAATACCATTTTGGGGGTGGAGAATGAGTCTCCCCACCCAAAAATATTATGACATATGGACTATTTTCCTCAGACTGAAAGTAAGTGCATACTGAGGCTTTAAGGCATATCATTTATCCATGTAAATACATATTTTGGTATACACATTCTTAAGTGCACACAGTTGTATGGGGAGATGGATGTTTTGGTCAGCATAATGTTGAGCATTGATTCTGAAAATGTGCAAAATACCAAAAGCAAAACTTCCCCAGCTTTTAGTAGTGGTGACTTCAAGACTTCTGTAGTTAAAAATAAAGCACAGCCTTGAAGAATAGAGATGAACATCGAAACTATACTTCATTTTAATTTTGAATAGCTAATTTCCCAGTTAATCTTTTTTTTTTAAAAAAAAAACCCCACCATTCATATTCGCCATATTGAGACATCTCTACCTTCAACCAGCATCACTATCTACAACACAGTAATTGCAACCTTTTTTCCTCTATATGTTAACCTGGCAACAACACAATTGTAGTTAAGTGTCCTGATTTATCAAACAGATTACCACAATTTAACTATTCAACACTGGACAATTTATGCGTAATAACTCCTCCATTGTACCACTTGGAGCTAATCCATTTATTTTTCATATTTTTCCATGACTGGGAGAAATATAATTGTGGTTGTTTAAAAACGTGAACAGCAATGATATCAACTAGATGAGCACAGATTATCATGTAAGAAATAAAAGAAAGCAAACATACCTCACAGTTTAAGGACTAATAAACTTTGTAAATTGTTATTATAATTTGCAACAACCAACACAATCCACATCAAATCTCAATAAATCCCAAATTGTACAATGATTGTATAGAAAAGGTTTACCAAAGAATTAAGAATATTTTTTGTTTGAGAGTTATCCTATAAGCACATAGACACATGCTATTCTTTATGACATAATTATGGGACTACTTTGTGCAAAACAGTATACACGTGTCTGTCTTGGAAGGATTAGGCTCTTTGCTGACTTTTTAAAAAAGAGCCTTTGTGGGGCTAAGCATGTACTGAGACATTCCCAATATCACAGTAAATACCTATAGGACTGAGTCCTCGCTTTATTCATACAATCATCCTCTTGAATGAGCAGGGAGATGTATTTTTAAAAACCAAAACAGAAATCACACCCAGGAGAAATTCAGAAGCTGGGCTAGGCATGGGGCTAATGTGTTTCAACTGCAATTGTGGAAGAAAATTCCACACACACACAAACTTTACTAATCCTTTCATCACAGGTATTTAATAAAAAATAAAATATCACCCTGTTTTGCTGCAGGAGTCATCAGACTGCATGTGCTGGGGAAGAATTATGAACACTGTTAGCTTGACTACAGAGTTGGGGTGAGCAAAGATATTAAAAGCTCTTTGTGCATGGGGAAAGCAATGGTAGGTACTCTCTCTCTCTGAGATGTTGTTGAGTACTGACAGAGATACTACTTTCTGCAGCACTACTCGTTCAGTCTGTTGGATGTATTCTATAACTTTAAAGCTGCAATACAAGGGGGAACAGAGAGTAGCCGTAGACATTCAAAATTGCAAGGTCAACAGGATGTGCGAGGCTCTTACATTTCTTGCTCTCTGTGCATTTTGGTAAAACTCTATAGGGGGCAGATGAAACAACTACCAGACATTGTTTAATCCACCCCCAACAGTCCACCAAGCAAAAAAGCATATAAAACACCCACTGGAAGTTACTTCCTGCTACCTCTGGAAATCTGAACACTCAGACATACCAAAGATCAGCATATCATATCAGATCAATCAAATATTTTTGGGGTTTCCCCCCAAAAAATGCCATCCATGCAATGTCAACAGTTTTATAACATAGATATGAAAAGAAAACATTTTATTAATGAACAAAACCTAGCATGATTCAATGATATTTTACTGCCATCCAGTAGGATCTACATAGCAGTTCCTAACTCTTGTTAAACTGGATATCCTTCATAATCTACTCTTGGCATGTTACTGTGGAGAATGGAATTAAGGAGCTAAAGATGTTTATAATGTAAAAGTGTATGTGAACTGATTATGTTGATTCTAGACAACAAGTAGGGAACAAGCTCTACTGAAGTGTGTGTGGAACTGAATATTTTGTGGCGGCATTGCAAAATGCCCAAGTATTTTTATTATGCACATCTTAACCTTCACTTTCATCCCACTTGTTTTGGGTTTAATGACTGGTGATGTAACTGTTCAATACAATGCATGTCTTTATTTGAAAATCACAGCTTAATGTACTTGAATTACACCATTGCGGCCTCTTCTATGTCTAGCTGAGATATAACTAAATTGCCCTTTGCTTTTGAGACCATGACATCTACACAAACTCATTCTGAGATACAACAGCTTACTTTATATTCTCACTAGTTTGCTCTAATGCACTTTGCCGTGCAAACCATAACAAGTGCAATTAAAGAGACAAGCTGTTATCACTCATCCTGAACACAAAACAAATACATATGTCCTCAGTCAAGCAGCAAAGAGCAATTTCTCCCTACTTGTGACAGAACCAGAATAAATTCAAATGAAACTCTTTAGTATTTCCTTAATTCATACTACAGTAACATTTGTAAGGAATGTTATAGATGTCTTCCATTTTTCAGGTGCTAGTTTTAACTTTTGTCATTTGTGGGTGATATGTTGTGCCTATGAGTATGATGCTACCAATTTTCACATTATTTTCCTCCCATTTCTTCTCTGAGACATCATTTTTATAATCATTTAAAGATATGCTGCTAATTAGGTTGGGTTTACTAAGGTTGTCCATGTGCACTGAAGCAGGACTTGCAGGATATGGAACCTGAAACATGACTTGTTGAGCAGGAAATGCAATGGTTATGCTATACTAGGAACAGAAATTTAACAACCTATCATACTATCATAATGAAGACAGAAGAGAAGTCATATCCTAGTCTGTGTTCTACAGTGGTGGTCCATGAACCAGTGCTGGTCCCTAAACCATCTGGTAGCAGTAGCTGGAGAGTTTCCAATAACATCAGAAACAGTTGTAGCTGATTGACACAAATATGGTTTTGGTGGCACAACAAATTACATCAAATAGTTTAAGAAGTAATGCTCTATATGAAGTCAGTCTTTCCTTTTCTAGAGTAATAGATTTTCCATAATATATTTCCCACATTGTGTGGCATCATAATGCTACAACACATTTACAGATCCTTCTCCACATTAACAGGTGGAAATAGGACTCACATATATTATTGAGCCACAGAAGGCATGTGAGAAAGTTTTTCAACCACATCTGTGTTGGAGAGGAAACACTGGTTTAATGTCCATGAACACTGACTTTTGGGAAAACTTTGAAACAGTATTAGTATGCTAACAAAATCCAAAGATCTGCTTGTATATGATAAAAAGACCCTTTAAACAGGTTTTTCATGACTAAGCACTATGATCTATACATGAATCACCTTAATACAGGATAAATTCAACAGGAAGAACCATACTGCATCACTAATTATGAAAAATAATAAAGGGATGGTCACTTTCTGTGCATCCTTTTTTAAAATTCTGAACTTCTGAACCCAGGAAATGTTACATTCACAAATAAGTCTCTGAGAGATACCTGCTGTTTGTACAGATTTCAAATACATGTTGTAAGTTCCATCTATTAACTCTGTCTGCTGTGCTCAGTGTTTGCAAGTGTCCCTTTATCCCACTGGTGGCATTCATTTTACAACCAATAGCACCTTTGTCCTTAAGAAGAGATTGACATCCTTGAGCGTAGCATCTACCAAAATATATATATATATTTATATATCTCCCATTTGACTGAGAGGAAGAGAAAAGCAGTATCTTATGAAGGCACACCCATGCTGAACTGACAAAGAAATCAAAATCATAGCATAACTGCACAGTGCAGTTATATTACAAAGCTCATTCTTGAAATCTGAGTCTCATGCTAGAATAAAATCTAGATTTGTTTTCTATTTTTGAAGAAATGAATCCAAGGCAATATCATTTAGGATTTTTTTCATTTAAAAAAGGATTCTATATCAATGGAGATAGAATCTTATTTAAAGAGGGAAATGAATGCTTGTATTGCAGCCTTAAAGATCACTTTTTTAAACTGCAATATTTGGGTTCTTTTTAATGTAAACTACGGTCTGCAAAATCAGCAGACCATGACTGAATGCTTTTGAAAAGTTATAGATTACAAACATGAACTCACAATTAATATCCTCTAAAAGTAATTTCAGAGTTTTCACGTCTTTTTTGTAAAAAATAAAGAAACAAAAAAGAAAAAGAAATAAAATGAAAAAGGACAATGTGTACTTCCTCACAAGGTAATGCAGCTAATAAAAAAGAGAGTAGAATTAAAGTATTTACATAATGAGCAATTCTACAGAAGGCGATCATCCCCATATAAGCACTGCTGATTATATCCCACGCTGCTTTTTAACAAACTCTACCAGATTGGATCCAGTCATCAGCACTTTCAAAGAATCCTTAAAAGCTTTCCATGGTTCTTTACATTTATTGTAGAATGATGTTCTTCAGGTACATTATGCTGGTGTAAGAGGACAGTGTCAAGACAAGGTACCAGCAGGACAATAGAACTTCAGCACCTCCGGTGATCCCAAGCTGGGTCGTACTTGGAGCTGGAAAGAGAAGGATACAAGTTAGTGAAAATGTCGATATTATTTCACGACTCATCTGTCATTTTTTTCTCAGAAAATATACTAAGAGCTAGGATGATGTCACAAATAAATTTCAAAAGCTAGCAAATAGTAGCAAATACGAGATTAAAAGAAGAAAATATGCACACACACACACACACACACATATCCCTCCACATTCACCGGGATTAGGGGCACAGGACCCCTGTGAAAGTGAAAAACTTTTATTACTGGTACAACAACAATTTTTATTGATTAGCCAGTTGGCCTTATCAAAAACAGACAGTGCAAACACAACATACATATTACTGGTACATTATGGAGCACTACTTCCAGCCATTTCAAGGCACAAGGTTCTTGAGACATACCGTGTTAATGCTGACACATGAATGATCAAAACTGGGAGTTAAAGATGTTTCACTTGGGGTTTATTCTATGAGAAATTGGTTCATTGCCACAAGAGAGTGGCTTCTCCTTCATGGACTTGGTTGTGCTTTTCCTGCATGGCAGGAGATTGGACTAGATACCTCATGTGGTCTTTTTCAGCTCTATGGTTCTATGATTCGTGTGTGTGTGTGTGTGTGTGTGCAGTCAAGGGTGGGGGAGACTCAATGTTGCTATCATTTGATGTTAAGTTGAAATAATATGTTTTGTTCTTTTTTACTTATTAGACTAGGAGATACATCTTGTGTCAAGTGAATTTAATATGCTTGATCACATTTCTCAGGACTGAACCATGTTCTTCAAGTATGGGCACTGCTACAATCAAGTCATCTGCTATTGTATGAACCCCTGTGATTTCTCCAAATGTCTCATAATTCCTTTGTTGAAAGACTTCACATGTTGACCTAATTCCAAAAGTAGACTGAGACATTTGTATCTGCCCCATGGTGTGTTCAAAATGCATAGGTCAGCAGGCTTCCTGTCTAATCCAATTTGCCAAATCCATCTTCCGCATCCAGAATCATAAAGATGGTTTTACCAGCCAATCAACACTGAACATCTGTTGTCACTGGAATTGAACTGTGTTGTCTAAGTATACCTTTATTAAGTGTTCTGGGATCCAGACAAAACTGCAGCATGCTGTCTCTTTCTCAGTGATGGCCAAGTTATTAATCCATGGGGTAGAGATGCAAACATCTTGAGTATAATTCTTTCTTCTTCTACAAGCTTCACTGGATTCTAAAGTCTGTCCAACTCTGGAAATGCTTTTTTTTGTATCCTTCAATAATGGATATGACTGCTGACTTTGTGAATATATGATATATCTCTTGAAATTCTCCAGGGTTCATGAAAGTTCTAGTATAATCCATTTAATTTAGTTCATTGTGGTTTGTGGCAATTATTTGTATTTAAAGAAGAGATGTTCAGGTATCTTAGGTGGTGTGGTCATGAACAACTAAAGACAGTGTTTGTACCTGAATACAGTGTATCATTAAAATGATCCTCTGTGTCCCTGATTCTGTCTTAAAGGCACAAGATGCAACTGTCTTATGTTATGCAGGAAGGACCTTTACTTCAAGCTTAGCATCAAACCTAGATTTTTTAAAGGAAACATGAGTCATGACCCACAGGATCTAATCCATGTTAACCATCTGATGACCACCCCTGGTGAATGTATGAATATAGACTTTCCCTATTCTGTAAAGAAATCTCCCACGGATTTGGGGCAAGGAATCCTGAAAAGTAGATTAGCCAGAAGCAGTAATGATATGCATCTTCATTTAGTCAATATGTCTATTTCCAAAGTCAGGACAGACTCTAGTGGATGCATTTTGCAACAGAATAAGTAGAAACTTTTTGTGAAAATATTATATTGTAGTACTGCTAGTTTGTAATGCTTAATACTCATGCCAATTTGTTACATTTTCCTATATTTTGGGTGGATGTGAAAAACTTTGGAGATGTGCATTTTGATCCTTGCTTCTGTTTGGTCATGCATCTATATTGTAGAATTAATGCATGGATTTGTAGTATGTTAAGGCACCAGCCCCTTTCAACAGTAAAACTACAACCCCCAGGATTCCATAGCATTGAGCCCTGGCAGTTAAAATGGTACCAAACTACATTAATTATGGGACAGATGCATCATGGCACAATGTTGCAGGAAGGGAAGGTTGGTGTGCAACAATTTCAATAAAATTACAGTATGACTCCATATCCATGGTGGATTGGTACCAAGATCTCCCATGAATACCTCAAATCATGGATAATAGCATATCCTATATTTTGAGTATACTTGAGCCATAGAAAAGCATTAGATGACTTACAAAGGCCCACAAATGTCTGTGTGGGGGTATTATTTGAAGTGTGTATAAGTTAAATCATGGATTGGTACCAAGATCTCCCATGGATACCTCAAATCATGGATAATAGCATATCCTATATTTTGAGTATACTTGAGCCATAGAAAAGCATTAGATGACTTACAAAGGCCCACAAATGTCTGTGTGTGTGTGTGTGTGGGGGGGTATTATTTGAAGTGTGTATAAGTTAAATCATGGATACTAAATCCATGAGCAAAGGGGCCTTGCTATATTTATAAAAGTAACTTTCCAAACTCCAGATTACTCATGTCAAATGCCAGGCCCATGGGATATAAGGGATATAAGATCGGCCCAGGGATATAAGATTGGTCTCCTCCCTTCTGACATTCTGTAAAAAGATTAAAACCTGACTCCTCGAACAAGCTTTTGCTAATGCAGCATGTACAGAAGTTGATTGTAAATGATATGATTATAACTGTATTTGTGTTTGCACTGGTTACCCTAATGCTGGA